TATATATATATATATATATATATATATATATATACACATGCATAAGTGCGCATATCCTAATAATATTATTGTGGTTCAATGAATTGTGAAAACATTGAATAAAATAGTGTGAAAACAATGCTTTTTGCATAATTTGTGGCAAAAACTGACATGATAAAAAAATTTTCATATGGGAAGAGGAAACTTGGATGGGATGCTTTTCTCATTGAGTGTAAGGACTTTTTAAAAACACTAAATGAAAAAAGTACCTTTAAGTGCTTTTAAAAATCGAAAATAAACACCTTCAAGTACTTTTTGAAAGCGCCGTGCTCCCTGAGGAAGTATACTTCGATTTCATAATCTGAACAAAGTCTGCACTAATTCATTAGCATTTGATATACCCCTCAAACAAATCAAATAAAGATCCTTAGATCAAACAAAGATCTTCATCAAAGTGTATAGTTCTTTTCTTTAAAAAACTTTTATAAGTGTGCGCGCTAACAACATAAATTGAGTTTTCAATCTTAAAGTTTCAAGTGCTATTGTGTGTGTGTCAAATATTTCTAATTCAACTTCTCACTAAACTCGCTTTCTTTAAAACGTCGACATTTTTATGAAATTATTTCAGTCATGCTCACCTCTGGTATAAGCCTGTTCAATTCATCAATGGATTCTTGGGGTGATATGTATGAAACTGTATTGCACGGACTCTCGGCCGACTGCAAAAGAGAAATAATTATAACATGAAAGTGTACCTGAAGTTGAATGTCAAAAATTTTATAAAACTTCTCAAAGCAAGCAGATATTCACACTACTGCTGCAAGGAAATCTTTGTTATAACAGATAGGGTATCATCTACCTTCTTACAAGAATTCCAGACAATCTTATTAATTATCATTGATTTTTTTTAAAAGCTCATATTGCTAATAGCAGCATTATTGGAATATCTTAATTATGTGTAAATATCTGTTTACACATAATCGTGTTAGCAGAAACCCTCCCACTCAGCAACGGGGCCCTACGGATTATTACGGCATTTGCATTTATGATTTCTTTTTATTTTTCAATACCTACTGTTAGTTCATACTCTCCCTATATATCTTGTTCAAATTTTCAATCATTAATAAAATACTTTTTATTAATGATTGAAAGTTCAAATAATTAAAAGTCTACTAGTGTCCTCCACTACAAATATAAAAATAAGTATTTTGATTCAAGTTCAAAATACTTATTTTGATATTTGTAGTGGATGACACTTGATATTTATACAGTTTTTTCAAATATTAATTCATTCATTATATTTAATAAATTAATATTAGTTTTAAAGAGAATAAAACATTTTTAATTATTTAATAAAAAGAAACTAAAATAGACATTTTCTTTGTTAACCTAAGAAGGAATTGACTTTAAAAAAAAATTTTTATATCACTTGTTTTGATCAAATTAAAATAAAATATATATATTTTTAATAGGGTATTATCATTATTTTTTTTCTTTAAAAAAAATCGGACGTCTTTATGGAAAAATAATATTTATTTGACTGATATTAGATTATAATAAATAATATTTACAATATATTCGATACTCAAATAATATGGAATTATTTTATGAAATTCTGAAAGTTCTTTTATTTCCCTTTTGTTTTTTCAATTTTTTTATTATTATTTTAGATAGTTGTAATAGTTGGATAGTTGTTGTCATTAAATAGGGATGAGTGAAGAACGAAAAGGAATTTTCTGATGGATTAAGCGTTAGTCATTCTATTAAATTTTACTAAGAGCGATTCAGTTTCACACATATTTTAAAGATATCATCAGTGATAATTTCTAAATTATAATTGATAATTTCATCAGTGATAATTTATAATTTCTTACTTTCTACTAGTTCTATTTGAAATAAAATTATTTATTGCTCATATAAATATTTAATTATTTTACATTCGCTGTGTCAGATAAATTCAATAAAGAACATGACGTGGCAGCATGCGTGGTTCACGTAATGCTAGAATATATACTTTTATAGTTGATGATACCCCGCGCCTTTTTTTTTCAATTCCTACGGTTAGTTCACACTCTTCCTATATATATTTATATATCTTGTATCTTGTTCAAATTTTCAATCGTTATTAGATGATTCATCGGTTGACTTTCATTTAATCTATTATTTGTAGTAACTAAGGATAAGGTTCTTATGGAATCACTCAGAAAAGTGACTGAACCAATTAACACAGATTACTTCATTGACGTCAGTTTCGATGCAACGTCCTCGATGACCAGCAAATTTACGTTTCAAACGTACTGTAAGAGACTGGCCACTAGATGGCACACTAAACTTCCTTTTAGGTTTCTGTTTGTTTCCAAAAAGTAGTAGGAGTCGAGATTAAAAAAGATGAATGGCGGTTTCTGAAACATGTTCTGTCTAGGTTAATATTTGCGTGTGATATGTCAATAATGTTTGTGATGCGCATCTACAACTTGTGAATAAATTATTTAAGATGCAGGCGACTCGTCTTTTGTGTGAAAGTTTAAAAGTCTTTACAGTACCAATAGGCGGCCCATTTCAAATGCATAGAGTTAAATGTTTTTTTCCCCTTCATATCTTTCCTTTTTCCTCCCCACGTTTGATGCCATCACAGATAGGAATAATTTTCTTTTTGAGTTGGTTAAATTATGTTAGAAATATTTTCGAGAAATTACGCATTCGGTCTGTCATTTTGAGTTGTTGATGCTCACAAATTCGGATTAACATTTACCTACCACGTAAAACCTGGAAGTGCCACGATTGGCTCGCAATGACTCTACCTTTTACTGTATATTCCAATTATCCTTGAACTTCTTCTCTCATTGAAGTTGTTTAGAATTACATTTTCCTTTTTTTTGTTTTCAAAACCGTAAATACAGTTGTTTAGATTATCAGCTTTTCGTAATTACTTCATTAAACCTGGGGATCACATCTCATCTGGAATCTTTTAAAATTATCCAAAAATATTCTTATACTATTACAACCGTCGTTAAACAGCCCACCCAATTTTTGTGTTTACGACAACGAATGCTGAACCCCGTAGCCTTGTAATTTTGAACCCAATCCAGAAATCAAGGGAACTTCTTGGAAGAAATTTGCCGTTCGTGGTGGACTTTTTGATGGAACTAACCCGTATTTGTGTTACATTGAGAGGAAGACCACGAGAATCTCACACAGTTAGCCTAACGGCAACGGGAACTTTCACCCATGATCCGCCTACCACTGAGGATATTAATCATTAGCTCTGTGATCGGTGCAAGCCGGATGCGGAATTCGTATCGACCAGCCATTGCCGGGATTCGAGCCTGGTTCACCTCATTGGAAGGCGAACTCTCTAAAAGATTCTTATGTATTTTAACTGTCGTTTTACACAAATTTTACAAATTTTAACTGTCGTAATTCTTATGTATTTACTGTCGTTGAACAGCTGACCCAATTTTGAGTTTACGACTATTAATTTTCAACCTCGTAGCCTCGTCATTTTGAACCAATCCAGAAGACAAGGAAACTCCTGGATCAATATCAAGAGGTATGATTTGTTATGAGAACATGAAGGACCTAGTGACTCGACAGATTTAACGTGCATCAGTCACCATTTACTACACTGGGAGTCTTCGGCCGGCGGTGATCGAACCCCCCGAACTCATGGACAAGGGCCCAGTGCCCTACCAACCAGGAAGAGATTCTTATAGTAGCTTTCAAGAAGATTAAAAACAAAGGAGTTCACCTGTTTGATCTTGGCGTACCACATTTCCACAGAAAAGATGTCGTCTGCATCGCTTATTGACCTGTCGTAAGGAGCCCCCAGCAGGTGGAACGACGAGAGAAGATGAGTCTTCAGTTTCATGTCATCTCGTATTTCTTCGGCCATTTTTCCCGACATTTGAGGGCCACCCGGTGACAGCTAATTAAATATCAGGTGTCAATAATATTCATACGCATTAAAAATCAGAGAAAAGGAAAACATTTATTATTATAGTCAGATGCGCTCGTAGTGCAATAATGGACGAAGAAATTACTGTTTCGGGTAAAAGGAGAATTATAGTTATCTGGCTGTAATGGAGTCCATGGCCATAGACGCACTATTAGATTCTGTGTAAAATCTTAATATTTAGGGGATACTATACAACTTTATTGTTTTTACGCGACTGAAACAGGTTTGCACTTGTTTACGTTCGTGTATCAATAGGTTAACATTGTAATGCAATATGTTAAAAATAGATACAAATAGGAATAGATATAAAAAATCTCCTGAATAAAAACCCATTACATGCATGTTTAAATATAAAAGCATCGCGTATTAAATCGTGCCAAACATGTCATTATTAAAACAGTGCGTCTAATAATTTGGTCTAATTATTATAACATACTAAAATAATATCCGATATAACAAATATTCTATATCATATATCATCTAATTTAACCAATTAATACACGAGCGTAAACAAGAGTAAACCGGTTTCGGACGTGTAAAAACAAGAAAGTTCTGTCCACTGATATTAAACTTTGCGTGTACAAAACTTCGCTGATTTAAATCTTCAACGCAGAACTTAGCAGGCAGGGTTGCAGTTAAAAAGTTTTTTTTTCTTGAGGGGGAGGTTACTTTTCAGCGATTTCCGGGAACGGATTAATCACTCTAATGAACAAATTAATTTTAAATTATGAATTATTTTGATTCGTGTAAATCATAGGTTTCCATTACATAAAAAAATATTCTATCATTAAATAAATAAAAAACTATAAAAACTTAGCTATTTAGTATTTTTACTTTTACTAGAATTAAATTAATTATGAATTCAAACCTTTAAAAAAATGACTCCTTTTTGTAAATTAACATTACGAGTTTTTATTCCATTTTTCAAATTAAAATTATATAATATTAAAAACATGTATTTATTTTCATATTTTACTCGTTATTTTGCGACTCCTATTCTATTTAGACAAGGAGTTATTCTACTTAAGAGCATACAAAATTAGTCTCTTACGAAATCAGAGCATCGAATGGGTAAGGTAAGCGAGTCGGCAGAATATTTGATGGTCCCATTCATGCATTTTGATGGTTTATGTTGGTTTCAGTGAGATTCCTGATGGTCCAACATTATTTGATGGTCACCATTATCCAACATTTCACATCATGGTTTTTGATATGACAACAAACTTCCATCATTTCATGATGTAAAATGTTACTTTAATATGTTACTTTAATGTTCCTTTACTGTTACTTTAACGTTACTTTAATGTTCCGTTGATGGTTAACCATCAACGGAAGTTTTATTCTTCTGAAACCAACAATCTGTGATGATTAAACATTTTCCTGATGGTTTAATGAGAATTCTTGTTAATTCTCAAGAATATACCATCAAAACAATTAGATTTTTTTATGTTGGTCCATCATAAATCAGTCCCGTTTCCTACATTGAGTTCATGGTTGTTCACGATCTTTCCATCATTGATTTCGAAGATACTATGATGGAAATTCTTGATGGTCCACCATGCATTTCCCTGATGGTTTCATAATAATTATTGGTGGTTCAGCAGGGATATACCATCAAAGTAATTTTTATTTTATTTTGGCCTATCAAATATCAGTCCTACATTAGGGTGATGGTGGTTCATGATCGTTCAGACATTTAATTTCTAAGAAACTATGATGGGAACATTTGATGGTTCAACCTGAAAAAAATCAACAAAATAAGTTGCTATTCTTAAGTTGAACCATTATTGCAGCCTCATCGAAAGATGCGAGAGCCCCCTAGCGAATACGAATAAGACTCAATAACTTTTAAGAACAATTTGAATGTGAACGGTCACTTGATACAAGCGCTTGGCGCTTTTCTCCTTTCTTTTGTAACTCATCTATTTTTGTTGTTCATCTTTTATCGTTAGGTTTATGAAATTACACTAAAATGTTAATTAGCTTGGTCTTCATTCGTGCTTAGATATTTATTATTAAATATATTGTTTCTGCCAACCCGGAAATAGAATCTCAGGTTGACGTTTCAGCTTCGAATATTATTAAGAACAGCAAGGTAAGTGATACCTTGCCTTTATTTGATTGTTTGAAGTAGTACCGCCATCAGTATAGAACAACCATCATAAATCAGTACAAATTCCTACATATGATGATTTCCAAAGTCAAACTTTTTGACTGTCCCATCAAAATATTTTGATTGTTTACGTTGCTTTCAGTGAGATTAATGATGGCCAAACATCATTTGATGGTCACCATCATCCAAAATTTTACATTATGGTTCTTGATATGAAAAATGCTACTTTAGTACTGTGATGGTTTACCATCAAGAGAAATATGATTCTCATGGAACAACAAATCCATGATGGTCCATGATGGCATAAAAGGAATTCTTTTTCGTTCTCAGGAATATAGAATCTAAAATAATTGAGTTTTTTATAATGGACCATCATAAATTGGTCTGAATTCCGACATTGGGGTGATGTTTACTTATGTTGGATACAATAGAAAGTATAATGGTTCATGATGGAATTATTGATCGTTACCATCACGATTTTGTTGGTTCATCAATGTAAAACCATCAAATATTTTGACTTGGGTTTTACCATACGCGAGAAGACAATATTTTATCAACGAAATCTGATTATCTTTCCTTTTTTATTCACTTTTCAGATATTTTAGAAACATATACGGATGGAAATTTCTAATGGTTCAACATGAAAAAACTCTCAAAACAAGTTGCTATTCTTTTGTTGAACATATCATAAATCAGTCCGAATTCCGACATTGGGGTGATGGTCACTTGTGTTGGTTACAGTCAAAAGTATAATGGTTCATGATGGAATTATTAATGGTTACCATCAAGATTATGTTGGTCCGGAAAACCATCAAAAATTGTGACATGGGAAGATGTATGCTTTAAGTGAGAACTACGGAAAAAGGAACTTTGCTGAAATAAAACAATATACAAACTTTGAGGGATCTGTTGGAAGGGGAGACTTCTATTGTGTAAGCGACAGGAATTCCAAGGAGAGCGAGTGCTGCCAATCTTTCATTCTGAGTGAGCAGGGAATCGTCATAGAATGTGTCCACCACTGGCCAGGTTCCAATCCCGAACCTCTTAAACAAATCTCTCAGAATTTCGTCTGGCTTCTTACCACCGTCCTGCAAACCAGCTGCATTAAAAAAAAAAATTTAAATCTTCAATTTGATCAATAACTGTGATAATTATACTTTCAGCATTTTTTTAAAATTGTTTGAATGGAAAATTCAGGGACTAATAATTCTCATGAGATATCTTCTTAAGTGTCACTATTCTTATAATGGTTCGTTCCCAGGTCACGGCGCCATTTCATATAATGACGAAATTAGGTGTAGTTGAAGTTGACTAATTGAAGATTGTGATGAAAACAGGATAACGAAAATGACAGATGACGATGAAAACTGGATCATAATTACAATAAAACTTTTATTCAGTTGTGTTTGTAGAGCTCGAGATACAAAATTATATTTTATTCATAATAAGACTTTCTTAGTTAAATTAAAAATTTTGTATAATCATATTAATAAAGACAGGCCATGGGAGATATATGACCCCCATGACCTGCCTAATCAAACCCAAAATTAAAAAATGCTTGAATTGTTCCCAACAGAGAGTTAGGAGCATGGGAAGAGATCCATGGTTGGTGATTTATCGAAAAATAACGCAGCCAAAAATGGGGCCAAATCCCCATAATCAATATTAAGTTGGAAAATAATTAATAGAAACGCCAAAATGACCATGAAAATTGTCAAACCAATGACATGACCAAATGACAATTAGTATAACCATGTAACTGAAACATATTTGTGGTAAGAAATTAAGATGGATTTTTAATACAAGTAGATTTTTAATACAAATGGATGGATACAAATGGATTTTTGCTTTCAATTTAGTCGGGACAGTGATTTAATGACTATTACATTAGTATTGAAATCAAAAGTTAGCCGTTACATTAATTGTTAAGAAAAGGATAAAATATTATATATTCGCTTATTATAAAATGTAATAAAAATTAAATATGTAATTGATTTCATTTAATTAAAATTTGGTAAAGAATGGTTAAAAATAAATATAAGCTTAAGAAATAAAGAAATTTCAAAAGCAGAGGAAATATGTAATGCCTATTGTGGCATCACAGGTGAACTGGATTCGAACCCCAACGGTGGCAGTTCACTACGAATTCCGCATCTAGCTCCATGACGGCAAATTTCTCCCAATACTTGATTCAGAAGTACCCTTGTCTTCTCGATTGGATTCAAAATTACTAGGTTACGCAGTTGAACATTAGTAGTTATAATCCCAAAAATTGGGTAGGCTGTTCAACGATAGTTATAACATAAAATAAAATATCATTGATTTTAAATTATTCAGTTTTTTAGAAACATGATGTTTAAGATGAATTTCGAACTGCTAGTACGAAGACATAGCCCTCGCGTGACATTGATTCTCGAGCTTTTCTGACGCAACAAATAAAAAATAGTTAGTTAAAGAACGTGCAATAAACACCCTTTTTCGAAATAGAGATGTGACTCTTTAAACATCACTGATGTTTAGCTTTAAACATTTGAACGAAAGAAAAAAACAGAATCGTCCTAAGTTTTATTATTGACAATTTCTATTGTTAAACCTATGAGAAAGTTTCCCTAATGAGTCAAATTGGCATCTTGTGACGTCGTTGAGCCTTCTTATGCAAAAAATAAACGAAATAATAACTAAATGTATATAAATAATAACTAAATAAATAATAACTTCTGAATATAAACGAAAATTGATTCTGAAGCATGCGATAGAGGTTTTCCCTTTTCTCAAACACACACAAAGCACATCTTGTAGAATCAGTTGAACTTCTTAATCCGGCGATCAACTTTCTTATGGGGAAACAAACTTTCAAAAGTATAGTCTGTCTACGGAAAGAACTCCTCTTGTCATTCGTCTGGAGCAGTGGCAGTAACTATGGTTACGAGGCTCAACTATTTCAAAGAGGGGTGATGGTGAATATTCAACAGGTTATGGCGTGAGAAAGGGAATCAGAGGAGAGAGAAGATCCCCTCTGAAATACGCCGTTTCTTGTTTCCATAGCAGCAGACGTATTCCGACTTTGTGGATAGGGGAGTTTTTTTTATAGACAAACTGTAGACAGTTGGAAGGCTCCGCCCTGTTCGAGGGGATTCGATCACAAATTTTTCGATCACAAAAATTAACATTAATAACACAATAAAAGAAAACAAATCGAAAATGCTTACGTACAGAATTCCACGCACCTCTCGTAAATGGATTTTGCTGAGGCTATTCGTTTATCCGTTGATGTTTCTAAAAGATCTGAAAAAGAAATTTAAAAAAAAAGACAATCAGCTTTCATTGATAAAATATTGTATTCTCGCGTACTCTTTAATACCCAAGTCAAAAATTCTTGATCGTTTTTCATTCATGGACTAACATTATCTTGATGGTAACCATCAATAATGCCATCATGAAATATTATAGTTTTGATGGTAACCAACACAAGAAACCTTCACCCTAATGCAGGAATTTGAACTGATTTATGATGGTCCGACGTAAGAATAGCAACTTGTTTTGATGTTCTATTCAAGCTGAATCATCACAGTTTCTCAGAAATCAAATATTGGAACTATCATGAACCCCCATTATCCCAATGTAGGAATTCGGACAGACTTTTAATGGTTCAACTTAAAAAAAACCTAATTGTTTTGATGGTATCTTCCTGAGAACCAGCAAGATTTCTCCTTAAACCACCGTGAAAATGTATAGTTGGAACCATCCTGGACCAGTACAGATCGTGAGTCCATGAGAATTAAACTCTCTTGATGGTTAACCATCATAGTATTAAAGTAGCATTTTCCATCGTGATGGAGTGATGGAAGTTTGATGGCACATCAAAAACCATGAACGCAGGATGGAAAATGTTGGATGATGGTGACCATCATGAATCGCACTGAAACCAACATAAACCATCAAAATGTTTTGATGGAACCATCAAGAATTTTGACTTGGGAAGTTTGTGTTTATAGAAGCTTTTCTTTACATAAAAAGACTGAATGTAAGGTAAACACAGAAGAAAATCGAGATCGCAACATTCGAAAGGAGGGTCATCTAGGGGGAATACTGGTTCTGTCTCTCGAGTTCTAGTTTAATAAAGTTAATAAAGGATAAAGTTAAATATTTTTTTAATGATTTTAGCAGATTGTAATTTAGGGGTTAGAATCCTTTTGATGTCGTGATAACTTTGGAAGGTTTTCGTGGTTTCTTTCACCGTGTAATGCAACTATGGGTAAGTTCCATCGAAAAATCCACCACGAGGGCCATTTTTTTCCCAATTCTTGATCCAAAAGCTTCCTTTGTCTGCGGGATTGGATTCAAGTTACAAGGCTACGGAATCAAACATTGATATCAATAAACCTGAAAGTAATCCGGCTATTTAACGCCGTCGCTATAAAATAAAATAAAATATAAAAATAAAAAAGATCTCTGGTAACTCCTCAGACTACTTTGATCAGCAAGAAGATCTTTAAAGGTTTGTGATTGTTAAGAAGACATTCAAAGATCAAATTTATTCAGAATATGAAAGAAGATTGGTGACATATGCAGAGATAACATGGTAAAGGAAATAAATAGTTAAAGTACGAATTGTCAATCTTACTCTTTAGAAAACTAAGCGTTCCTCTTGGTATTGTTGTTCCCAGAGATTTATTCATTTCGCCACAAGAGTATTCATAAAAATTTGAACAGGGATTCCAACTGTCTTCCATTTTGGACAGAATTTGACTGGCTGAAAAAAAGATTTACAATTTATAAATTTTTTTTCAATGTGTCAGTAACATGAATGTGAAAATTAGCAACGAAGCTATTTTAACGAGAAATAATATAACATTTATGCTATTGCTCTGTTGCGAGTAAAAAATGTAAATAAAAATAAATCTTTTCCTAATCATATATGAGGAGATTTTCCTTTTTATTTCGCAAATCAATTAATACCCATATAAACGGAATATGAGTCATATAATCTCGAGCAAGTAAAAAGAAGCAGAACAAATAAATATGTAGCAAGTAAAAAATTTAAATAAAAATAATTTTTTTCTTAATCATATTTGAGATTTTTCTTTTCATTTCGCAGAGCAATTAATATTAATACCCATATAAATAGAATAAGAGCCATATAATATCGAATATAAACGGCACGATTAGCTCAATTCATAAGGACAGCACTTTTCATCATTACAGGAAAAATAATTAATAAAAAGAAAGATTTTGAATTTATTACCTGTTTGAATGCATTCCTTACTCAAGCACAAAGTGGGTCCTTCATCTTCTGTTCCTGTGAAGAAAAAATAAAAACTATTTCAGAATTGAAAATGCCTGCAATTCAAGATTGAAAAAGTTTGCAATTTCTTCCAATTATCTCCTTAGTAGCGTGCAGTTATCATAAGTGGAATATACTTTGTCCAAATTGCATCCGATTTTTTGCTTCTCCTATCTGATATCGAAAAAAATACTGAAAGTATGTTAGTCTATATAAAAATCTAATGGTGTCTCAGCTTTCCATTGTTGACTTAGCATTTCTATTGGACAGAAAACCACATGGTAGGATCTAGTTTTCCCACATTAATTTTCGTGTTAGTTTTGTTGTCATCAGCAAAAAAGTTGATGTAAGTCATAAAGGTGTTGTTTTCCTATAAATATTTTTGCATCCATAACTTAAAGGTTATTATACCTGGATTATTATTACGTTTTTGATTTGTTTATTTTCTAAATGAGGAATTTAAGAGGATTGTTTTCATTATCATATTTGTTACAATAACGTAATTCTACGTTACATTTTAAGATAAAATTAATTAAATCTGTGTCTGATCTTATTTACCGTTTTACAATTATTCTTTGGTGCAAATTACATTGATATTCTATGATGAATTACAGTTAAAGAGATTCGTTAAATGATTTAGAAGCTTCATGCATAAAGTGATGGATGCAAAAATTGTACTTAAAATATACCTCCTTTCGCTGGGTAAGCAAAAATATTAAATTACAGTCGTTGAACCCATCAAATTTTTTCTAACAATATACTTTTCATTTGAAATGTTATTTCAAAAAATGATTACTTAGAAAAATGATTTATGTTATGTATTATTATGATCTTATAAAGGAGGGAAATACTTAAGAAAGTGGCCAGACTTTTTAGTACATTTATTTTTAGTTTAATAATTTCAACTGTTTCATGACAAGAAATAGCAATGAAGTAATCATCGGGGTTGGTGAGTGTTAGCGAACAGGGGGATTAGCCCCCTAGCTGTGAAATAAGAGTGAAAATTTCTGAACAACTTTAAGAATGATGAGCCGTAACAGTTTTAACCAATCAGTTCGTTATCTAGATTCATGTTTTTTGCTGCAGACAGATATTCCGTGGGTCAGAGAGGACGTTGTAATTATTAGGGATTTTAAAATTGGCAATGTGTGAAAAAAATTGTAAGTAACTGCAAAATTTTTGTAACAGAAATCTCTATAATTTCTTGTTACAAATAAAGGAAATGGAGGTCACATAAGATCATAAGTTAATAATTATAATATTTTTTAAATGTATTACGTTCCGATAGGGTCTGTAAAACATATCTAATTGTTATTTACTAGCTGTGGTGGCAGAGGGATAGAGTGTTCGTCTTCCAATAAGAGGATCCGGATTCGAGACTTAGTGAAGGCTAGTAGATACTAACTCCGCACCCGTTTTGCTCTGACCACAGTAAAATATCCTCAGTAGTAGACAGATCATGAGTTATCATGGTATAATGAGTCCCCTTGTCGTGAGGCTAACCATAGGAGGTTTTTGTGGCAAATGTAACGCAAATGGGGGATAGTTCCATCAAAAAGTTCACCACGAAGGCAAATTTCTTCCAATAATTGATCCAGGAGTTCCTTTGTCTTCGAACCTAGTACACCTCATTGGAAGGCGAACGCGCTATCCCCTGACTCCACTGAAGATAATTTTATTTTATTTTATAACCGTCGTTGAACAGTAGACCCATTATTTTGGATTTACTACTACTAATGTTCAACTCCGTAGCCTTGTCATTTTGAACCAATCCAGAAGACAAGGACACTCTTGTATCAAGTATTGGAAGAAATTTGCCTTCACGGAGGACTTTTTGATGGAACTAACCATCATTTGTGTTACATGGAGAGAAATCCACAAAAACCTCTAACGGTTAACCTGATGTCAAAGGGACCCATGATCCGTCTACCACTGAGGATATTTTACGTCAGCACTGTGGGTGCGAAATTTGTATCGACCAGACACTGCTGGGATTCGAAGCTGGGTCACCTCATTGGAAGGTGAACGCTCTATCCCCTGAGCACCAAGGCTCCACTGAAGATCATTGAATTTATTGACAACTACATTAGTTTCCAAGAGATGCTGAAAATAAATAATTAAATCGTTAATAATTAAAAAAAATTAATAATTAGTTTTTCTTAACAGTGCTTAAAATAATTTAATAACAATAAGGTAGGCAAACATTTACATCTTATTCACTAAAAAAAAAAAACAATTATGCGAAAATTTGAACAAAATTCTCTTTTATGATGTACCCTACAATCAGGGTGTTTCAAATTTGCTGTAACCTCAATACAATTCATACTTTGAGCCCTATTTTTGAGCTTGTTGAATCTCTTCTGAACATATCGTTCTATTCTCGACATGGCAAAAAAATTGCGCTTCTGAATAGTCAATCCAAGTTTAACAACTGAACAAGAAATTATATTTCTTTACTTTCTTAAACACTAGGCTTAAGCTTACTGCCCAAGTCAAAGTTTTTCCACTGATGGACCAACATAATCTTGATGGTAATCATCAATTATTCCATCGTGAGCCGGTAACCAACATAAGTAACCATCACCTCAATATAGGAATTCGGACTGATTTATGATGGTCCAACATAAAAAAAAAATACAAATTTTTTTGATGGTATATTCCTGAGAACCCATAAGAAATCTCATTAAACCATCATGGAAATGTATTGTTGAAACCATCATGGATTGTTGATTCATGAGAGTTAAACTTCTCTTGATGGTTGACCATCAGAGTATTAAAGTAAAACTACAATGCAAAGTAAAATATGCCAACAAACGTTCATCATGGAATGATGGAAGTTTGTTGGCATATCAAAAACCATGAACACGTAATGGAAAATGTTGGATGATGGTGACCATCATCCAATGATGTTGGACCATCATGAATTGCACTGAAACCAATATAAATCATTTATATTTTTTTATGGGACCATCAAGAATTTTGACTTGGATAGGCAAAGTCCTTGATTTTGGATTTGGGAGTGGGGGCTGGGTATATTACAGACGTAACTCTTAAGGCATCTCTTTATATTTAGAACACAAAACGATAAAGTGATTTTAAAAATCTCAATTCATACAAGTTCCGATTTAACCGCTTCCCTTACCTATTATTTTAGGGGAGGGGGAATGCAAAAGATCAAGATATTTTTTTATTTCATTTATAAATACAAAGATGTAAAACAAAACATAATACGGAAGTTTTACATTGCACTTTTTATTTCTTATGTGTAAAAAAACATGTATTTATCATCAGTTTACTATCCCGAGCTATTAAGTTAAATATTAGTCTTTGCATGATAGTTTTTAAAACAAGGGACAACACAAACTGATACTTTCCTAACGTCAGTGAAGTGATACATCGTCTTTCTTTCTAAGTAGATTCAACAACCATCGTTTATACAAACGCTCAAAACACGTGTGCAGTCCCACAATTCAACAGCAAAACTCCCAAACAAAACTTGGCAAATCTCCAATCACAGCAGATTATTATTTTTTGCTGCTTCTGGCCAAGTAAACACGTGATAAAACAAAACACAATGACAAATTCTGCAACGCCCGAATTCTCTCAGGATAATATATATTTGCAATGTATTTATACCCGAGTTATTTTATTTTATTTAATATTTTATAACCGTCGTTGAACAGAGGACCCAATTTTTGGGTTTACGTCTACGAATGTTCAACTCCGTAGCCATTTAATTTTGAACCCAATCCAGAAGACAAGGGAACTCCTGGATCGAGTGTTGGGAAAAATTTGCCTTCGTGGAGGACTTTTTGATGGGGCTAGCCCGCATTTGAGTTATATGGAGAGGAAAACCACGAGAACCTCCCATGGCTAACCTGACGGGAAGGGGAAAAAAGAACGGGGAGGGGGAAAAGACGGGAAGGGGTTTCCTGCTCCGTCTTACCACTGAGGATATTTCACATCAGCACTGTGGTCGGTGCAAGCCGGATGCGGTAACACTGTATAAAGAACTGTGTTGAATTTTAATACTTTTTTTTTTAAAAAAAAGACTATTTAAAAAAAACTGTGCTGAGTGATTTAGGCAAATGAACAGCTTTAAATAACAAATTTATTTGCAGTGGCGTTCATAACATCCCCGCAACACCTCGCTCCAGGGGAGATCACGATGTTTGAATGGCCATGCTCTAGAAAAAAATAACATATGAATTATAATTAAAACATTTTTTTTCTTTTATAAGGTGTTTCCTTATTTCATTTACAAATACTAATAACCCTTAACTAATCTTTAAATATAATTATTGCTTAGTTATAGATACTTCGCTATATTATCTCTTTTATTTTATAACCGACGCTGAACAGTAGACCCATTTTTTTGGATTTACTACCACTAATGTTCAACTCCGTAGCCTTGAAATTTTGAACCCAATCCAGAAGACAAGGGAACTCCTGGATCAAGTATTGGGAGATTTTGCCTTCGTGGTGGACTTTTTTGATGGAAATAATCCGCATTTGCGTTACATGGAGAGGAAAACCACCTATGGTTAGCCTGATGGCAAGGGAACTCTCACCCATGATCTACCTGTCACTGAGGATATTTCACGCCAGAACTGTGATCGGTGCAAGTTGAATGTGGAATTTGTATCTACCAGCCGTCGCTGGGATTCGAACCCAGTTTACCACATTGGAAGGCGAACGATGAGCCATCACGGTTTTTATTTTATTTCATCGCATTATTAAGATTCATTTCATTTCAATGTGTTAAGTAGGTAAGTATATACAACGTTTACTACCTATTTCTAAATTCCGCCTTTCCATCACAATTATTAATTAAAATAAAATTTTGATTAATTTGTTTTCGCATTTTACATTTCAAAAATTTTGTGTTCCGGCATTTAAAAATCCTGCTAGAGGGGGGAGGCGCACATTTTCTTCAGAGAACAGTTGCAGAACCGAGAACAGATTTCTTAAGCACCCGTGTTTCAGTTCACCGACGACATGACGCTTCAACTTAA